TCATGTTTATTAAAACGTATAATTAAAATTATATATAATATTTAATATTAAATAACTTTTGATCTACTAGACCAATTCAGATAATTTAACTACCAAAATGATTCTCTTATTAAGAGGATTCTAACAAATCCAAAATCATAAAAATCTAATAACTAGATGCTAAAATATAAATAGTTTTGTATTACTATAAATATATAATATTTTATTATATTATTATATAATAATACAAAACTATTTCTATCTTAGTATTAAGTAATTGGATTTTTATAATTTTGGATTTGTTAGAATCTTCTCATTAAGGGAATTTTAACAAATCTAAAATCATAAAAATCCAATTACTAGATATTAAAATAGAAATAGTTTTGTATTACTATTATAGCAACTAGAAATTGAGTGATGATGCATTAGACCTAAAGAAGATCGATTGCATCATTATTTGTTTTACATAATTAGTACATGCATCGTATATTTAGCAAATATAGCATAATATGTATATTTAGCCGAAGTTGCATAATTAGCATAGATGGCAGATTTAGCATAAGTAGTGTAACTAGCATATATAGCATGTATAGCATAACTAGCATAATTAGCAAATATGTAAATATTATAAAAGCAAACATGTATTAAATTGGGACGAGAGTCTCACGATACCCCAAGTTAATAAAGTATACACTTAACTCTGCCAAATCCACGTCCTCTTTCGAGGTGTTATTGTCTAATGTTATACAAACTATCCCGGGTTACCCTATGAATAGGAATTTTTAAGCCAAAATGATTTACGAACAATTACACTATAAATATATTTTATTATATTATTATATATTAATACAAAACTATTTTTATCTTAGCATCTAGTAATTAAATTTTTATGATTTTGAACTTGTTAGAATCTTCTTAATAAGAGGATCATTTTGGTAGTTAAATCATTCAAATTGGTCTAGTAAATAAAAAGTTATTAATAATTAAATTTATAATTAATTATTAACAAGTTTATAATTTGGCTTAAAAATATTTTTTAATTTTGGCTAAAACTTGATAATTCCAGCCAGAATTATACCTGATACACTACCCACTCCAAAATCAGCTGATTTCTGGAAGCCCTCTTATCATACTCAATATTAAAATGTAAAGGTCTTTCTATCTCAACTATAATAATACAGTAATATGTACTAAAACTATAAATATTAGCTATTGTTATAGAATAGTTTATTATTTTATTAGTTTATTATTTTGATATTGTATAATTATTGGTTATTATTTTATTATTTTATTATTTTATTATTTTATTATTTAGTTATTATTAGTATTCTGCAGATCTGATCTGAAGATCTGAATCCGAATTGGATCTGATCTATTGGATCAGATCCAGATCTGTAATTTATAAGATCTGTCAAATTCAGATCCACATAGATGTCCAAATCGAATACTCGATACTATACTGTACACTTATTGGTCAGTAATAATATATATAAGTATGCTAATCAAAATGATAATAAAAAAAAAATCGTTACTTGCTCCAACACTAGAATAAGATTCACATTATTTTTTAAATAAGTTTCATACAATCTTATTAAATAAGTCTTATATGATCTTTTTAAATAAGTCTTATATGATCCTTTTTTTTTTTTTTGTCTTATGATTTTTTTTTTTTTGAAACAAGAATATTGTAATGCCAACTCCGTCTATATCTTCTTATGAGGAAGATTATGAATCTATACATAGAGAAAAGTATGAACCAATGTATGAGGAATAGTATGAACCAATGTATGAGGAAAAGCATAAACCAATACATGAGGAAGAGCATGAACCAATGTATGAGAAAGCGTATGAACCAGAGTTACAATTAGATGAATCTGAAGTTAGTGAATCATCGCAAGTACAAAAGTCAAATAGCAGTAATTCTATACATACCAGGTAATTAAAATATTATAATTGTTTAATATGTTGTTTAATATATTGTATTAATAGTATGTTTCATAGATCTTTTGTATGGAAATACTTTAAAAAAAAAAGAAGAAAACCAGCAATTTTTGAGATTTGTAATCAGAAGTTAGCATACCAGTATGGAATGACATCAAATCTTAAAAGTCATCTTAATTCTCACAAGACCAAAGTACCTAAATTAAAGAAATTGAATGTAAAAGAAGACATCTCAGTTGTAGATATGTTAAATAATAAATCAGGTGTAAGTTTTTATATAAATATAAATAAATAAATAAAAAATAAATAAAATAAATAAAAAAAAAAACTAATTTAAATAAATACTTATATTTAGATTAATAATAATTCATGTGAACCATTTAATAGAAACAAATTTTTTAATATGGTTAAACATTGGATTATAAAAAAAATTGACTATTTCAAATTATTGAAGATACTGAACTTAGATCAATATTTATATATCTAAAATCTGATGCAATAGGTAATATTTTAAGGTTATAGTTATGTCAGATATATTAAAAGTCTATATATAACTTTATATAATATTATTTTAAATAATATTATATAAAGTTATATATAGAGACTTTTTTTTTTTTTTTGGTTTTAAGGTGAGGCCTTGCTCGTATCTTTATTAGTAATTCAGAGATAGTTACAACATAGA